TTTCCATAGTTTGGCTATTGTGGACATTGCTGTTATAAACATCGGGGTGCATGTGCCCCTTCAGATCACTCCGTTTGTATCTTTGGGGTACATACCCAGTAGTGCAATTGCTAGGTTGTAGGGTTTCAACTTTTTGAGGAACCTCCATACTGTTTTCCAGAGTGGCTGCACCAGCTTGCATTCCCACCAACAGCCAAAGAGAGCTCCCCTTTCTCAGGGGTGGGCAATTGAAACGTGAATTTAATTTTAACTCTGAATTTGACTTGCTGACTGAGTGTAGAGGGATTCCTGGTCCTGGCTTGGCGGTCCCCGTCTGTGCTGGTCACAGTCTGCACCACTGAGGCGGGCCTGGGTGCCCTCCCTTTGCAGGTGAGGAAACAGGCCCGGGGAGTGAAGCCCCACATTGGAGTTCAGGTCTCCCTGACTTCACAGCCCTCCTACAGTGGGGCTGTCTGCAACTCTGGGAAAGCTGCTCGAACCCGTCATCTGCCCTCTGGTCTCCCATCATTCCCAGTACCAACAGTGTGACGAGTTTGAGAGTCTCGCTGTCCTCCCCTCAACTCTTCCTGCCCCATCCATATCTTGTCAATTCCAGGAATAAATGGAATCTGTTTCTCAAGCTACACCCCAGCTTTGGCTTGGGAAATGGCCAGCTCTGTGGCACAGGAGTGCTCAGCTTTTTGCCTTGCTTCGTTTTAGCGCCCCTGGTGCTTCTCCAGCTCTTTTCCTCTCAGAGCCTAACACTGCCTTCCAGCCCGTGTTCATCTGTGCGACTGTCGTGGAGGCATGGCTCAGGCACTGCCCTCCGAGGGGAGACCGAGCTGGGGGGCGGGGGAGCTGACTTCCACGACCTCTGAGGCTTTGTGCCCCCAGTGTCCTGGGCCCTCTCTGAAACTCGTTTTCCTTCAGTTCCTGGAAACCTGGGTCCCAGCTCACCGGCCCTGCCAGATCTGCATGTGCCTCAGTGGGCAGAAGGTCAATTGCACGTCACAGCCCTGCCCCACGGCCAGAGGTGAGCGCCCGGCTCCCTGCTGCTCCTGGAGGAGGAAGGAGTCTCTTGAGGCCCTGGCCACCCCGTCTGCATACCTGCTGGGCCAGATACAAATGTCTGTTTCCTCCACCCCTCCTGCCCTACCCTTCCTTCCCTTGCTGGGCTCGGGGTACCCTTTTTTGTACCCGGAGTAGACACTCTCAGAGGTTAATCCTGCCCCCCACACCCCATCCCCACCTTGGCCATCAGTCTCAGAGTCCCCTGGAGGGCACATTTGAGGGGGTCACCAGGACACACTGGGAAGACTCATTTGTCAGAGGCCCCTTGGCCCGATGCCTGGTGGGCCTCCTATGAAGGGCCTGTGCTGGTTTTCTGCAACATTTCGAAGGCTGCAGCCTGCGGCATCATTGATTTCTCTGACTTCTGTGGCCTTCTCCCTCAGCTCCCATGTGCGGCCCGTGTGAAGTGGCCCGTCTCCACCAGAACGCAGAGCAGTGCTGCCCGGAGTATGAGTGTGGTATGTGTCCCACCCTGGGCGACTCTCCAGGGCCCAGACCCTGGTCCCAGCCCCAGGTGACCCACGCGGCAGGTGCTACAAGGCGCATGTGGGCTAAGGCAGAGGGTGTGCCAAAGGAGGGGGGTAAGAGCTGACTGGCTTTTCAAAAAAAAATGGCAAGAGTATGCTCTGGAATGTAGGATTTGCTTCCTAGGAAAATTCTGCAGTGAATTATTAAATGTAAGGTTTGAAAGCATTAAAAAAAAGAATGGGGTAATCTCTGGTGGGGGGCAGTGCAGAGGTTTACTGAAGAAAAAGTCATGCCAAAGTAACCCATGTGCCTTTTTTGATAAAATCCTTAGGATACCAGCTATAGAGAAGGCCACACACAGGGCACTTTGATTTCAGCAAGTGATTCATCAAAGGGTTTCATTATAGGCTTGCAAACTCCACGGTGAGTAATGGGCTGAGTAAATAGTGTAATGAGATGAATCCAGAGCTGATGGAATTATGGTTAACATGACAGGAAATCTCCAGTGCCCCGTCGCTGTCCTGTCCAACGTGTTTATTAATTGGACGGATGAGGACATAAAGCACAGGCGTGTCAAATTTGTAGTGATGCAAATCTTTGAGGGAGAGCAAATAGATCAAGGGACAGTCTAGGGGTCTAAAAAAGAATGAAATCATCTGAGAAATTTATTTATGCTGATGGAATTTATAAGGCATAAATGGAAGTCCTGCGTGGAGGGAGATGTGGTTTGAGACAAACTTGTGGAAAACAGGCCTCAGAATGTTAACAGTAGAGAGAACTGGGGCATCCTATAGTTCAAGCCCCTCATTTTATAGATGTGATTAAGCTTCTACGATGTGCCAGACACTTTGCCTCCATTATTTCATGACATCTTGAGACTGACCCTGGAAGGTAGCCTTCCCCACCTTGCAGAAGACGAGACCGAGCTCCCAGAGGGTTCGGGTGACTTGGCTTGGCTGAGATCTGGAAGTCCCAGCAGTGACAAGAGTAATCAACATGAGCTTATCATATGACTCGGATCTGCCTGTCTGTCTGTCTCTCTCTGTACCTATCACTTCTCCCCTTCTCTCCCTCCATCTCCAGCTCTATTTCATCTTCATCATGCACCTAACACAGTAGAAGTCTGCAGGAATAGGAGTGTAGGGTGCCACAGTAGTGACCTTGCTGACCTCTGAGAGGGCGTCTCTCTTTCCTGGCCTCAGTGTGTGACCTGCTGAGCTGTAACCTGCCCCCGGCTCCTCCCTGTGAAGATGGCCTCCAGATGACCCTGACCAATCCCGGCGAGTGCAGACCCAACTTCACCTGTGGTAAGGCCTCTGTGGATGACGAAGGAGTAGCATGGCCGCTGTCTCCTGGCCTGGGAGGGTGTCCTGTATTCTAGTTCATTGAAATCTGGGCTTTGGGTACATCTGGAACAGAGGGGGTCAGATCACACCTGGGTTGACCCTTCCTAGCCACGTGCTGCTGTGGCATTCTGGGTGTGGGCATAGCTATATGCACCTCCCTTTTTTTTAAAAATTTTTTTATTGTTATGTTAATCCCCATACATTACATCATTAGTTTTAGATGTAGTGTTCCATGATTCATTGTTTGTGCATAACACCCAGTGCTCCATGCAGAGCGTGCCCTCTTTAATACCATCACCAGGCTAACCGATCCTCCCACCCCCCTCCCCTCTAGAACCCTCAGTTTGTTTTTCAGAGTCCATCGTCTCTCATGGTTCGTCTCCCCCTCCGATTCCCCCCCTTCATTCTTCCCTCCTGCTATCTTCTTCTTCTTCTTTTTTTTTTCTTAACATATATTGCATTATTTGTTTCAGAGGTACAGATCTGAGATTCAACAGTCTTGCACAATTCACAGCACTCACCATAGCACATACCCTCCCCAATGTCTATCACCCAGCCGTACCATCCCTCCCACCCCACCCCCCACTCCAGCAACCCTCAGTTTGTTTCCTGAGATTAAGAATTCCTCATATCAGTGAGGTCATATGATACATGTCTTTCTCTGTCTGACTTATTTCACTCAGCATAATACCCTCCAGTTCTATCCACGTCGTTGCAAATGGCAAGATCTCATTCCTTTTGATGGCTGCATAATATTCCATTGTATATATATACCACATCTTCTTTATCCAGTCATCTGTCGATGGACATCTTGGCTCTTTCCACAGTTTGGCTATTGTGGACATTGCTGCTATAAACATCGGGGTGCACGTACCCTTTCGGATCCCTACTTTTGTATCTCTGGGGTAAATACCCAGTAGTGCAATTGCTGGATCGTATGGTAGCTCTATTTTCAACTTTTTGAGGAACTTCCGTACTGTTTTCCAGAGTGGCACCTCCCTTTTGAGCTGCATTAAGAGACAGTTGGGCCTGAGATGGAGAAGCCTCCAGATCCAACCTTTACTAACTCCCATCCTCCCACACACCATTGAGGGGAGGGAATGTTCCTTTGGTTTGTTCTCATCGCTAGATCTTATTCCCAAACAAATCTGTCAGTTTTCTCCCCCTTTGTGTATCTATTGAATCACCAAATAGCATAAGGCTGGGTTAAAGTGAGACATGGCAAGGAACACAATTCCATATGTAGCCTTTGAGAATACCCACTTTATGTCAAGTGGAGTTCTTGTCCTGTTGATCTAGAGTCTCACTTGAGCTCCTAGAAGTAAGACCTGGAGGGTAAGAGGAGGCCTCATTGTATTTGAAGGAAGTTGGGACCAGGCAAAGGACACAGGGAGGGGATTGGCATTTATAAAATGACACTGGCGGGGCACCTGGGTGGCTCAGTCAGTTGAGCATCTGCCTTTGGCTCAGGTCATGATCCCAGGGTCCCGGGATCAAGCCCCGCGTCAGGCTCCCTGCTCATCGAGGGGTCTGCTTCTCCCTCTGTCTCCCACCATGCTCTCACGCTCGCTCTCTCACTCTTTCTCAAATACTTAAATAAAATCTTTGAAAAAAAATAAAAAAATAAAATGACACTGTGGGTTTGACAGGGTTGCTAGCATGCTTTCGTTCAACATTGTTGGAGGATCTAAAACTACAGGGCATTGTTCTAGGTACCCAGCTGGCGCAGGGGTCCCAGAAGCTCCCAGCCTGTAAGAATGCTTGCCAGCGCATGGTGTGCCCGGGCTTGTCTGGGTCTTAGAGATTCTATGTCTGCTGTCTCCAAGATTCCATAGCTGGAAGGACCCTTCTTCTTCACAGAGTGGAGACCCAAGCAGCCTTCACTTCTCCTCCGTTAGAATTTCTAGCTTCACATTTCTCCTTTTGATTAATGTTCCTATTTTTCCTGCAGACTAACTGCTTTTTGGTATGATTGAAAAATCCCACAGCCCCCAAGCTGGGCTCACGGGCATTTCTGATTTAATAGTCTGGGTCTGGAGTTTCCTGGGATCTTATATCAAGGCTGAATACTTATGAACCCTGGCTGAACGCACTGCCCAGCATGGCAGGATGGGGGCATCACCTCGTGCTGCCCCTCAGCCTGCAGGAAGGACGAGTGCAGAAGGGAGTCCCCGCCCTCTTGCCCCCCGCACCGGACACCAACCCTTCGGAAGACCCAGTGCTGTGATGAGTACGAGTGTGCCTGCAACTGTGTGAACTCCACGGTGAGCTGCCCTCTGGGGTACCTGACCTCGGCCATCACCAACGACTGTGGCTGCACCACGACAACCTGCTTCCCTGACAAGGTAGGGGCTGCTTCGTTCTGGCTGGGAAGATGGCCAAACATTGGCTCCTCGTGAACTATTTGCCTACCTAAACTTCCCCTCCTGCCCAAACCGAATGCTTTAATGGTGGGTGAGCAGTCAGCATTCCATCACAGCCTAAATGGACATTTAATTAGCTTGGGAGGTTTTTAGAGAGAACCTACCATGTTCTCAGCATGGCTAGGTGCTAAGTTTACAAGCAAACTATAAGACACGGTCTCCACCATTAAAGAGCTTATTTTGTAGGTTAGCTAAGGAACTAATATGATTGCATGAATTATTAGTTAATAGTTTACTCTATTCACTTGTTAATTGCTATCAATTCATCCATGTGCCTGTCCATCTATCCATCCATCCTTTCTTCAATCCATCCATCCATCCATCCATCCACCCATCCATCCAATATTTACTGAGCAACAATTATGTTCTAGCAGAGCTGGTGCTTTGTTAGGTGTTATGGGAGAAATGTAAGATGCAGATGACTTATGATCTTGCTAGTATATAGAAGATAATTGTTTATAAATGGAATACAGTAAAGACAAGGGATGGTATAGCTGGTAAATGCAAGTAGCGGTCTTATGGGGGAGGAATGCACCAAGATGAACTATCATGAGCCAGAACTGCAGCAGGAAGACCTGGGCACACTTGGCAGCTGCTGGATTATTGGCAATGAGCCCTGGAGTGAATGCTAGGGAGAAGCCATGGTTCTCTTTCCCTGGATGCTTGCTGCTTACGGGCTGTCATTTCCTTCAGACATTTTTGGTGATTAGAGCTTGGAAATGCATTTTAAAGAGGATAAAACTCATGCATTCATAGTGATTTCAGATTCAAAATATATGTAAGGTTTTACTTAACTTCTTTGATTTATACTTCTACCACTTCTCTTCTAAGTTGCAAATACTGGCCTCCTAACATAATTGACATAATTAGTTTTTTGCTTTATATTACAAGATGCCTAGAATAGTCTCAAAAATAACAATTCCAATATTATTGCTAACAATTTTAAAACAATTGAGAGAGGTTTAAGATTTCTTTGCAGTTCTTTATTTAGCCTAGAAATAGAACCCATTAGGGATATATGGTCAAAATCCTGGCTTTTAAAGTTATTTGAAATAATTATTTTCCTTGTGTGATCTTGCCACTGCTTTGATACCTAGTGAATCAGATATTTCAGTTTGTCTTCCACTTTTAGGGCTTGGTTTTACTTCCTTTTTGATTTACTATTTTGTTATATGAAAGGTACTATGGCATAATAACATAGTTACTAATAATGTTGTAACAAATAGCTTTGTACATCTGTCATTTTGTATTTTGGGCAATGTATCTTTTGAGATAGGTTCCTGGAAGTGAGATTGTGGGTGGTAACATTTTCTAGCAGGCTTCTTAATAGAAGAACAAGGGGTCTCATTCCATAAGTTCCTTATATAGCAGCTGGGAGACCGAGCAGGTAAAGGATAATGGCTTATAAATACTTGTACTGCTGTGATGTGTGTGAATGAGGGTGGAGACCTGTTCATAGCTTCAGAGGGCAGATTTGGGATTACGTCAAAACTATCATTAAGTGTCCTGATCAAACAGTGCCTCATTCCTACAGAATAAATTCTGAGTGTTATGTTCAACCTGGCTTTACATACTCTGATCCCAGTCAACCTTTGTAACTTCATTTCCCATATCCCTTCTGTAGCCTATAGTTTTTCCAAGTAGGATCCCTTGTCTCTCAAACATATCCCATTCTCTGTGCCCCAGATTTTTTCCTTGTTATGCTCCTTGTCATCTTCGGGCCTCAGGGGAGTGCCCGTTCATAGCCCCTGCTCACCTTCAGCCCACTCCTAATGCGACAGAGGGCTATGTGTGGATGGGTGCTAAGTCCAAGGACTACACTGGGTGTGAGGATTAGGGAACAGTTTCCTGTGTGACATGGGAGGGAGTTAAACGCAGCTAAGGCAGTGATGAAACTGGCTTAAGGCAGCCAAGTGAGTTATTTCTGAGCCTGTGGTCCACGAAGGACTCTGTAGGGGCCACTAGCATACACCGGCGATGGCTCTCTAAGGCTGGTGGGCAGGGAAGGGCAGAGGGCAAAACCTTCATAAACATCCCTCCAGGTGGGCAGAGACCACGTTGGTTTTCATACTGCTGTATTCTCAGCACCTACAGCAGCTTCCAACACACAGTAGGTGCTTCTTAACCTCTTGTTGAAATGAACAGAATGAGTTCACTCACCATAACCTTGTGTCTGCAGGTGTGTGTCCACCGAGGCACCATCTACCCTGTGGGCCAGTTCTGGGAGGAGGGCTGTGACGTGTGCACCTGCACTGACTTGGAGGACTCTGTGATGGGCCTGCGTGTGGCCCAGTGCTCCCAGAAGCCCTGTGAGGACAACTGCCGGTCGGTAAGGGGCGCAGAGGGGCTGGGCACTGCCTGGAGCAGTCTGGGCAGGAGGTGGGGGACGGCGGTCCCAGGAAGGGGCAAGAAAGCCTCTTTAGTAACTTCTGGTTCCAGGCCAGAGGTGAGGGGAAGGAGGGGGCTGGGGCTGGGGCTGAGTGAAAAGAAGGTGTGAGGATTGTTATGCCATCCTTCTGTGAGTCTGTCCTTCTGTGAGTCCGTCTTGGCTAATGGCCATGTCTGTTGTATGGTCTTGAGTCCAGAGGGCTGTGGAGTTGGTTTGAGTAGAAATTGGATTTAATGCCTACAAAGGAGGACCTGATTTTTTCCCATGTCTTCCCCTTCAGACATCACTTCAGCCTGCCCCTAGAACAGACACACATTCTGATTTTTCTGAGGTTTCCCCCCAGTTTCAATGTCCTACAGTGTGTCTACGGATTGGTGATTTTTCAGACCACGTTTATAATTTGCAGGACAGGAAACATGATCCCTGCTGCCCCAATTCAGTTTTTAATTCTTCTGGTGGTGGCCTGCCCCCTAAGGCTCCTGTGTGCTCTGGGGCACTCTATTCTTGCACATATCAGACTGATGAGACCCTAGAAAGAAGGGAGAAATGGTGTGCCAGGAAAATTGTGGATCAAATTCTGGTGCTATTATTATTATCCCTTCAATGGTATCAGGAGATGATGATGGTAAGAGAGGAGTAGCCGGGGCAGACAAGGACATACGTCTTGTGCTTGTCTTCATAACAGCAGTGGAGCTAATGCTCTTGATGCTGGGTTGGAAGTGGGTGGTTTGATGATGGAAGAGAGGGCCTGAGTGTGAATCCCGAAGTCGGAGGGTCTACTCAGTTCATCTGCTCTCTACCTGCCTTGCTGGTACTGAGGAGGAGTGGAGTTGCAAGGCACCCTTGGGAGAGGATGATGTGGTGGTATCCAGGTGTGTCCACTGGGGACACTGAGTTTTGGAAACCTATCGGTCTCCATCCCCTCCCACAGGCCATGGAAGGTGATGGAAATAACTTGCTATCAAGCAAGAGAGTGCTACTTAGAGGTCATTTTTATAAAACTAGCGCCCAGTGTGTGTATGTATATATATAATTTTAAGATTTTATTTATTTGAGAGAGAAAGTGCGAGGCAACAGAGGGGCAATCGGAGAGGGAGAGGGGGAATCTCAAGCCGACTCCATGCTGAGCATGGAGCCCAACTTGGGGCTTGATCTCACAACCCTGAGATCATGACCTGAGCCAAAAGCAACAGTCAGACGCTTAACTAACTGAGCCACCCAGGTGCCCCAGCACCCAATATATTTTGTGTATCAGTAGGGAGTTTTGATTGCAAAGAACGGACTCCACTCAAGCTAGCTAATATTAAAAGGAGATTTATGGAAAAGACAGGGAATCTCAGAAATGAAATGCAGGAGATGTGAGTGGGCACCACAGTCATACAACATTTCTCTTCATTTGTCCCATGAGCCCCTGTCTCTGCTTCTCTCTGCTCATCTGCAGGCTGACTGCCTCTGGGGGGAAGTTTTGCTTTCTCATAGATTTCCTTTGCACGTGGCTTTATGGAATCTGGCTTCAACTCAACACAGCTTTGCAGACCTAGGGTTCAGCCCTGGCTAATCTGACTTACTCAATCTTTGTGTTCCATAGAGTAACTTCTCAGGAAGAAAATTGATGGGCTCAGCTCAGCCTAGGAATTGGGTCCTCTGTGCAGTGCCCACTCTGGTCCAGTCAACTGTTAGGGAGGGTGCAGGTCATGTGGTATACACCCGGCTATCTAAAGGCTGTGGTGCTGGAGGCAATTTCACAAAGAAGATGGGTACAGAGCTCAGGGGAGTGGGTGGAGGTGGCCCCATGTCTAGATCTCGCGACTGTGTAATTGCTCAAGGGGTTGTCTTAGAGACATGTCTATCTTAGAGACTGAATGTTTACACCTTCTGGGGAGAAGGCAGCCTCGTGGTTTAGTTCAAGCTGAGGGGATGTGGGAGACTGTGCGATGTGTTGAGGTGGGAGCTTCAGGGAATTGAGATGGCTTCATTCTTCAAGGAGGGTAGTCTCAGCTCCGGTCCAACTCCAGAGACATTTGGGCTCACTTACCTGAATTCATTTGCTGTCTAGGTTGTGACAACAAGCAAACCCAGGACAGCATTACCAAAAAAAAAAGAATAACATTACCATTGCCCTCTGATTTTTCTTTTCTGAAGCCAAAGTCTGCAGAAATAGACTTTCCCCAATCACCTCCATAGTTCTCAGCTCTTCATGTCAGAAAAATGTAAAGCTAGCAAGGGGCATTGCAGGGTTCCCATGGAATTTTGTAGGTGGGCCTACATGCATATGGCCTTCCTTCCATGTTGACAGCAAGAGGAATTCCCATTCCTTTGAATAAATCTTGGAAGAGCTTTTCTTTGAAGGCTTATGACTGCTTGATTCCCTACCCTTAGATTCCAGAATCAGACTAAATCATGGAACCTTGGGAACTGTTCTGAGGGACTGAATATCCTGCATTGTATTTTATTTATCCTTATGATTCTCTTCCAGAAGGAAGAAGAGGCAGGGCTGCTCTTTCCACTTGCCAGATAGGAAGCAGAGGATTAGCACAGGGAATGAAGTTGCCCGTAGTTCTACAGCTCACTGGAAGCCAGTAGCCATGGGGGTGTCTTGACTCCTGGCCCAGGGCCCATTCCAATGGGCTAGTATACTGGCAACATCAGCATTGCAAGGGCTGGTGTGATGCAGCCAAGAGACAAGGGACCAGAGCTCTATGCCTCCCACCTCTATGTCAGCTATGGCAATTGTGCTGCAAGGACTGTGCTGCTAGATACATTAGGGATTTATTCTCAGGGCATCTGTCTTCAGATTAGGTGGATATTAGATGGACTTAGTTCCATTCTTTTTTTTTTTTTTTCCTTTGGTAAAGATTTATTTATTTACTTGAGAGGGAGAGAGCAGGAGTGGGAGGGGCAGAGGGAGAGGGAGAGAAAATTCCAAGCAGTCTCCTCACTGAGCTCGATCCCATGATCATGACCTGAACCAAAACCAAGAGTCGGACGCTCAAGCGACTGCACCACCCAGGCGCCTCTGCTTAAGTTCCATTCTTAAATGGGGAACCAGTGAAGACAGGATGGAGAAGAGTAAGGAGAAGGTGTGAGATGTAGATTTTTGAGCAGATGTAAGCTAGAGGATTTGGAGGAGTATGGGAAAAGAAGGAGAGATGACATATAGGATGAACCCTGGTTGCATAGCAAGAAGATGTGGCTGTTGGAGGCATGGAGGGAATCTTAGAAAGATGGCAGCCAAGAAATTTGGTGGTATGGCTAGGAGTACCCAAATGTGAGAAGTTGGTGTGGTTTTGAGAACAAGGCCTGTGGTCTAGAGTTAGCCAACATATGGACAACATGTTTGCCCATGATGGGGGCATGGGATGGGGCAGCAGCAAACAGAAGGATTATGCGAATCCAGGTGACTCAGCACTCTGAGAGAGGCACACAAGAGTGACTCTAGGTCCCTAAAGGGATTAACGACTCTCTTCTGTGCTCCCCTGAGGCTTTGTTTCTTTTATGGCACTTTGTACATTCTGCTTGTAGTGGAAGGTGTCTAGATTGTACCATCCTAATTTGTTGGCTCCTCCAAAGTACCTAGTACGTCATAGATGCACAATAAACGATTAGAACCTCAGCTGATAAAAGACTGGGGACAGCTCAGTGGGCACTGTTGTGACGCAGGTGGGGATGTAAGTAGGTCCCATGCAGATTGTGTGAGGTTGAGCCAATTCTCTGGAGTGCTTGCATTCCCCCCAGGGAGAGGCACCAGTGTTGTGTGCATCTCCTGACTCCGCCCTGCTCTGAGTGTGCTTGTGGAGCAGAGCAGGCTTGGCATCCACACCCATCTTGAACAGCTGCAGTCATTCCTTCTCTCTCAAGGACAGAGCTCCAAGATGAAGACAGTCCTGGGTTCTCTTTCCATGGCTCCTGGGACAAACACACATAGCATTGTTTTGCCTGTTCTTTGTATATTGCTTCAGAGTTTCCGTGGAGGATTTCAGTACAAGTCCCTAATGCTTTGGCCAGATGAGAGGACCTCCAAGAGGCAAGATAGGCTGGCCTACCTGTAGGACCATGCTCTCCCTGACAGACTTTCTGGAAAAGACCAATCTGTGTACTTTCTTATCTTACTGTGCCCATAAACCACTAGGTAATATCAAGCAGTGACCAGGGGAAACCCAACTCTGCACATTGGTGAGAGGTCAAGGTGCTCATCTTGTATAGGTGGTTATCCTTGTAAGAGCAGAGACTAGATCCCAGGCATCCTGACTGTTCTTCCCCAGTCAATAAGGGGCCCTAGATTTGGCCATGATAAAGATCAGGCCAGCTAGCTGCTGCTGAGTGAGTTCTGGGCTGTCTTTAATACTCCCACGGACTGGATCCTGGTCTGAGACTGGAAGCTTTCAGAGGGCAGGGTTATGTCTCTTCAGTTGGTGTAAGACCTAGCTTAGCGACTCAGGGGTGGACTCCTCCTAACCACTTCTGAGCATGATCCTGAGGCTGGTGGAAGACAGAGATGAAAATGTTCACTCCAACTGGCCTGCAAATCCCCAAGGCTCAGGACACATACAGGGTAGATAAGAACACCCGTGTCTTTGCTCCTGGGCTGTCCTAATCTCTGTCCTTTGTGTTTTTCTAGGGCTTCACTTACGTCATCCACGAAGGCGAGTGCTGTGGAAGGTGTCTGCCATCTGCCTGTGAGGTGGTCATTGGTTCACCACGGGGGGACTCCCAGTCTCACTGGAAGAATGTAGGTCTGGGGCCCAGGCTGGGTAGGAAGGAGGGTAGTGACCTGACCAGCTTTGTTGGCCACTCTGTGGTCCACGGCTGGCTTTGATTTCATCCCCCACCCTTTGGTATCCCCACAGGGAATTGCATCTGGCTATGGTATTATCCAGATGTTCCTTGGGGTTACTTGGCCCTTTATAGGGACAGTTGAGATTGCCTCAGACTTCCCATTTGGTGGATTTGGGGAGAGGCCCGGTTCCTTCCCTAAGAGTCCTGTGAACTCCGGGGGGATTTGTGTCCTGTTCACCTGTGAATCTGAGGTCTGCTTCCCCTGAGTGCTTGTTATGGGACAGCCTCACCATCCTGCAGGTGTGGTAGGCCCACCACTGCCCCAAAGCTCCACAGATTCTGAGTACTGCCCTGCCCTGGGTCGGGCCACTCATCCACAGGCCTGGATGCCCCGGGGACAGATTGCTGGGCTGTGGGGGCCAGATGCCAGCATCCCTAGTCTCTTGCTATTTCCCTGTAGGAGTAAGTGGGAAGAGGCACCTGGCTGGGAAATGGGTGGAGTTCGCCTTCCACATCACTTCTGTGTCAGCCCACGCTGCCATTTCTCGGTCAGAGTGCCCTAGAGCCTCTGAGCTCAGCTCACAGCTAGTGACCAGGATGGAGGGGAGTGTCCCAAGGCTTCCCTAAGATGGTGAAGACTGTGTCTGTAGAACACATGGCTCTGGGTGAGGGTCTTGGTCACCTGGTGTCTTTGACCCACACTCATTCCCCCTGTGGGTCTTACTCTAGGGGTGGGACTTAGACGTTAAGCTGGGGCTCATCCCCAGAGCCCATATCAGCTCCCTGAGACAACAGCACACCCCCATGGGGCCCTTGGCCTCAGCCTTGATCAACTCTAGTGCTCTAACTGCAGGTTGGCTCTCACTGGGCCTCCCCTGACAACCCCTGCCTCATCAATGAGTGTGTCCGCGTGAAGGAAGAGGTCTTTGTGCAACAGAGGAATGTCTCCTGCCCTCAGCTGGATGTCCCCAACTGCCCCATGGGTTTCCAGCTGAGTTGTAAGACCTCAGAGTGTTGTCCCACCTGTCGCTGCGGTAAGGCGTGTGTCCAGGGGCCCCACCTCTAAGCCTCTCTGTCCGCTAAGGGCTCCTGAATTTTTTGCCTTTTCAGCAACTCAGGAAAATGGGCAGAATCAAAGTCCTCCTATCTGTTCCTAACGCTTTTGTGGGAAAGCAAATAAGATGAGAGAAACGTTACAGTTTCCTGAAGGTCATCACCGTGCTCAGTGGTGGCTTTCTACCACTGGACCTCCATTTGCTCGTGTGAGTTAGTGAGTGGTAGACTTCTCAATCATTCACTGTGATTCCTCTGCTGGGAAAAGGTACTCCAACTTCCCACCCCAACCCTGCCAACAAACACACAAAATAGCGACTCTCTTCACCACCTGCTTGGAATTCTTTGGAACTTAAAGTTTCCAGAGTAGAATTTCCTTCTTTCAGAAGCCCAAGTGCTCTCCCACTCACTCCTTAAGTGTGGACCATTTAAAAAGTCTGTCCCCTTGAGGACGCGGGGGAGAAGGATCTTCTCACTGTGGGCTGCCTGCTCACAGGCTGCCTGCCCTTCCTTGGCAGGCCTGGGGGGAGCAAGGCCACTGTGGTTCTGGCACTAGGACCCACAGCACCTGGGCGAGGGGTGGGGCAAGGGACTGCAGATGCAGGAGAGGGGCCCAGACGGGGAGAAGACCCTGAGGGGGGATCTGCCTTGCACTTTTCTCTCTCCCCCAGAGCCCCTGGAGGCCTGCATGCTCAATGGCACCATCATTGGGGTAAGCCTTCTTTTCCAGGCGAGTTGTAACTGTGGGAAGGGTGGACAGCTCAGTCATTCTGAAGTGGAAATGAAAGGAAGCAGGGAGCCCTATCCTCCACTTTCTGTTGCCTCCCGCTTCCGGGGTATCCTGGTACCCAGGCTCCCGCCATCTTGCTGACTCTCTAGGGCCTCACCTTCCAGCCTCCACTCAGCCTCATGAGCATCTCTTCTGTGTGCAGAGAAGCACTCTGATGGCCTGACACACATTTCAATCCATTCCCCTCTCCCACTGCTCAGGCTCCCTTTCCGGTATAAAAGCTCTGATTTACTATTGCCATACATGAGGTGGGAGGGCAGGGAGGGAGGGGGGCACTGGACACAGGAGGAGTGTCAGGGCCATGGCTTATCTTGGCCACTGGGCCCCCTCTCCTAAGGCAGACAGCTGAGGTGAGTGGGAGGGTCAGGGGGGCAGTGTGCTGGGAGGCCTGACCCTGGTGCCTCTGGTTTCAGCCCGGAAAAAGTCTGATGATTGATGTGTGCACGACTTGCCGCTGCACCATCCAGGTGGGAGTCATCTCTGGATTCAAGCTGGAGTGCAGGAAGACCACCTGCGAGGCCTGCCCCCTGGTAAGAGGGTTGTCAGGGACCCAGGGTCCCCGGATACTTGGGGGACCCAAGCACTGGGACCTCGCTGGGGTCTGTAAATAAAGCTTTTGTTATTTTCTGATTGTGGGCAATATTTCACAACTATAATGAAGAGCCTTGTTTTGTAAATTTAAAGAATAAACATAATATTTGCAGGGCTTATGGTACCATACTTACAGTTCTTTCTTTTCACACAACATTTTAAGAAGCATTACTACCATTCTTTGAAAACATTAAAAATTAATTTGTTAACAAATATTTATCAGACACTTACTATGTGTAAAATTCTATACAATATTCCTTGGAATGGGTGTACCCCAACCTATACTTTCATTCTTGGGCACTGAAGTGGTTTAAAATCTTTCACCCTGTTTCTGCCAGGTCATAATGACTATGCTCACTCTGAGGGTGGATTCTGAGAAGTGGAATCATCATTTCTAGTTGGGTAGATAAAAACCGGCATTTCAGTGCTTTAATTATGACTCAGCCCCACCTCACAGAGCCTTCTTCTGTGTTGGGGCTTCTGCTTTTTCGAAAACACAATTGGACAAATGAGCTTCTTGTGAGCCAGAAGCACAGAATGCAGTAATAGCTCTTTCAGACCATGCAAATGGAGGGCTTTCCCCCTCAACTTTGCCAGGGAGCAGGCAGGCTCTGGGGCAGCGTCTGGGAGGAGTCCTTCATATGAGTAGGAGCAGAGCCAGCCAGAGCGGAAGGGGACTTCAGGAGGATAGGGATGAAGAACACTTGAGCAGGTCCTTTATATGGAGCGTTCTACATCTGTGTTCATCATGGCACTTGGCACAGAGTCATGCTCAAAGTAAGGGCTTAGTAAAATATCTGTGGAGTGAATGGGTCTATAGGAGACACAGCTATTTCTGAAAGAATGATTCAAAGAGAACATTCCTGCCTCAATTAGAACGAAGCCAACTAAGTACATGCTTTTTTTTTTTTTTTTTTTTTTTTAATCACAGTTGCTGCTCTAGGATTTTGGGTTGTGTATGTGCATGTAACAGCTTCCCTAGAATACATGTCAGCTTGAATAGGGAATGAAATAATGCTGTGTGGAGTTTGTGGCATCTCTTTCACCTTGGATGTCCACTGAAATACAATCAGTGCAGCAAGAAGTCCCCACCAACAGCATCTCCAAGGAGCGCTTTCTAGAGGGCAAGCTAACTCTCTAACAGCGCCCTCTAGTGGCCAGAAGGTGCCACAACAAGCTCCTGTGCGTCCATAGAAATCCAGCTTTAGAATCAATTCAGTCTAGATCTAGGTTTCAGTAGTTTTAAATCCATGGCCCTTTTTTAACTCTTCCTCCTTTCCTCCAAAATTCTGATATCCTCCATGGCAGTGTCCCCACTTCCTCCCTCTTGAGAACTGCTAGATCCATCCTCCTTCAATGTTATCTCTCAACTTTTCCTGAAAACTGCAATTGTCCCCATTCTAGTTCAGCATCCTTAACTGGTCTTGCCACTGTCTTCTGCTGTGAAGGTCAGAGAGGTCTCCTGCAGGTGAGGAGCTGTGGCGAATTAAGTTTAGGTAGGTCTGCTTGAACGCCCTACATCAGACTAAAGTGTTAACGTCACCATGTGAGTCCTTCATTTCCTCCCAGGGGAGACCATGCTTATACCTAAAAGGAGACCTGTAGAAGGTGGTTTGTGCTGGTGGGTAGTACACATGAAGCTTGACCGATGAACTCACAAGGAAAGCATGAGGAAGAGAGGTCCCCTGACATGGAATGCTGAGAAGGCACCTGCAGGGACATGACCATGAGCTGACCTTGAGCAGGGAGTTGAATATAGAGGACCTTCCGGGAAGGGGAATGGGGACCAGACTGGCAGATAGAAGTAAGAGTTAGAAGAGGACAGCAGGGGGAGGCAAGACTGGAAGGCTTTGAGCAGCTAATGCAATTTACGGGAAGGGCTATGAGACACAGACAGGGCAGTGTTCACGGCATGACTGGTCAGGGGCAGGTGCCTGCTCCTGACTGGATGTTCGGGGGAAAGCCCATTCAGCAGTGCCGTACTTCGTGTGTGCGTGTGCGTGCGTATGTCTGCCTATGGAGCCCAGAGCGCTGCCAGGAGTGGCCGTAAGCCCCGCAGGGCTCAGAGAAGCCCTGTTACCTGATGCAGCTGCATTCTGGCCTTCTAGGGCAGGGGACCTGCTGAGGGAATGTTTTCTTTGTTTACTCCTGCAAGTAGGTCCCCTCCCCCTTCCTCCCTTGTTCCCAACTCCAAAAGCATTGCCGCTCTGTTACCTTCCACCTTCTTTTTCTTCCTGCTCTTTCTCTTTCCAAAACACCCTCTGCCTTTCCCTATTCTTGGCTTAATTGTGTCCTCTCCTCTCTGATGTGAAGGTTTTTCCACCGCCCTGTCCCTTCACTTAGTGGCCCCCTCCTCCCTTTGTCCCCTGCCCACTCACTTCTCCTGTAAAGATTTTGTCCATTTTCCTCTCCTTGGGCCTGCTGAGCAGAGGCTGTTTCCTGGTGTCTTCTTCTAACACTCACTGAAAAGAAAACACACGCAAATCCACGTTCCCACAAAATCCTGCCCAATTTAAACCCTGTTTAATCTCCTCTGTCTGACTGTAATCACCCACACTAACTCATACTGTTTATTCCATTCCTTTCTTCCTGTCCTCTTTACCTCAGTCCTACACCTTCCAGGAATTGTACATTCTTGAAAATACAGTTTAAAGGTCACCAGTGAAAGATGACCTGATGCCTTAAACTCCAGCGGTGTCCTTCCCAGTTTGGAGCGTGTGGCCTGGACCCAGGAGCCCTAATTCTGTGCTGACTCCGCACTCACTGGCTTTCTGCACAACCTACTCCCTGACGACACATTGAGTTCAGAAGCTTGGTTTATGAGTAGCAAATTGTTTAAATTCATTCTGTGCAAGCTTACTGACTCCTAACCTTGCTTGCTGATTAGAAGCATTCAGCCCAAGTGCAATGAACAAGGGAGCAATGCAGAGAGGCCCACATTTTCTGTCTGAGGGCTCCAAACTGACTGGCTAGACCTTCATGTTAGGAAAACCTCAGGACCTGAATGAATGAATCTCCAAGTGGTTATTACTAAATGTGGCAAAACAAGAAAAAGAATGACATTGTAATTGGCTTCTCATATAATTCAATTTATTCTTTAAAAATGTTGTGAGATTATATCCCCCCCTTTTTTTTTGGAGTGTTGGGTAGCATTAAAAGAGCTTTAATTTTGATGCAGTGATGAAGCAGCTGATGGTAGCTTTTTGGTTTTTGTTTTATTAACATTGTTGAAAATCCTCTTACTTTGCAAGATAAAGAGTTGGTTGCCCTATGTTGTCTCCCAAATTTGGGGACATTTTTGCAAGATAGTGAAATCCTGTTGTCTGGAAGCTGCTGCTTTTTCCAGCTCAGATATAAATGAAGAACATCACTTAAAGCCGCTGTCAAGGAGTTCCCAGCTCAACTAATCTCAGCGAGTCCAGGAGGCCTACTTAGAGCCAGGTGCTGGGATACAATGACAAGAGCATAGACTAGTTTGGAATTTACATGCCTCTCAGGGAGAACAAATGAAAATTTCAGATTGTGTTAAGTGTTATGAAGAGTATCTTTGTGTGTGTGTGTGTGTTGTATCTTACAAGACCTTTCTGAGTAATGATATTTGAAATGATTATTGAAGGGTGAGAAAGAGCTAGTTATACAAAGCATGGGGAAGAGCATTCCAGGTAGAGGGATAACATACACAAAGTCTCTCAGGTGAGGAGGTTGGCATATTCATGGTCCTAGAAGATGCAAAGGGGTAGATTGTCAAAAGCAAGAGAATGGTTGCAGAAGAAAAGGTCATAAAATTAGGAAGGAAGGAACCATACAGGGCCTTGTAGAACATGCTAAGAAGATTGGATTTTATTCTGAATGCAATGGGAAGCCTTAGAAAGTCTTATTTTTAAAATTTTTGTAAAATTAATAATTTTTAAAAATCAGGATAGTTTACCTACAATAAAATGCACAGATATTAAGTATATAGTTTGATGACAAATGATAAATGGATAAGTCTGTGTAACCACTAAAATAGTAATATGAAGAAATGCAGTTAAAAGGCCCACAATAGGGGAGAGAAAATAAAATTCTAAACAAACAACTTGATTAAACCAAAAGAATATAGAAAATCATTAACAATAGAACAGATAACAGAGAAGACAACAAATAAAATGAATAGCAAAATGGGAGATTTAAACCCAACCGTATCAATAATTACATTAAATGTAAATGGGCAAAACAAAATCCCAATAAAAAATGGAGATTGTCAGGCTTGGATAAAAAAGCAAGACCCAATTAGTATGCTGTTTACAAGAGGTGTGCTTTCAATTTTGTTTATTGTTACTATTTTTTAAAGTAAGTTCTACGCCTAATGTGGGGCTTGAACTCATGACCCCCAGATCGAAAGTCGCACACTCCACTGATTGTGTCAGCCAGGTGCCTCAAGATTTGTTTTCAATTTAGAGAGATGGAGAGATTGAAAATAAAAGGATGAAAAAAGATATGCCAGTCAATGCTAAGAATAAGAAAGCTGCGATGGATATATTAATACCACATAAAATGGACTGTAAAATGAGGAATGTTACCAAAAATAAAGAAGGTTATTTCATAATTATAAAAGAGTAGATTCATCATGAAGACACACAAATCTTAAATGTGTATGCATCTGGTAGCAGAGTTTCTAATATATGAAGCACACATTGAGAGAACTAGAAATAGGCTTATCCACAACCTTATTTCATAATTCTAATGTTTTTTTCCTCAGTAATTGATAGAACAAGTAGGAAAAAAATCAGTAAAGATGTAGAAGATTTGGAAAACTGTATCCACCAACTTGACCTAATTGAAAATAATAGACTACTATACTCCCCAAATGCAGAGCACACATTCTTCTCAAATGCACATGAAATTTTCACCTATCTGGACCAAATTCTGGACCATTAAAACGTCAATATATGTGCAAATTTTGAAATCATTTAGAGTACATTCTATGACCACAATTAGATTGAAATTAGTAATGAGAAGGTATTTAGAAACATGCCGCACCATTTGGAAATTAAATAAAATACGTTAAAATAATCCATGAGTCAAAGAAGAAATCACAAGGGAAGATAGAAAATATTTTGCCAGAGATAATAGCAGTTACTCCAGAGATTACAATATGCATCCTTAACTTATCATAGTCTACCTTGGTTTGATAATATACACTTCATGTATGATGTACTTTCCCCCCTATACTTTGTGCTGTTGTTGTCACATAGCTTACTTCTACATGAGAAGTAAATTCACAAGATGTTATTTTTGCCATCCAGTGACTTTCAACAATTTTTAAAAATATTTTGTCAAGAATTTATAATCGTTGTCTATAGGAGATCAGCCCAATATAAGCTACTCTGCCATTACTAGAACCAGAACTCCATGGATTATTTTTAATCAAGAGGGTGATATGACTAGACTTATAAGAAAATACTTCTAGCAGATGTGTGGAGACCTACAGTATAGGGGCAAGAATGCAGGTAGAAAGACAAATAAAGACTGTTACTAGAGTCTAGTGGTATATGATGATTGCTTGGACTAGGTGATGACAGAGGACGTTAGTCATGACAAGCAGAGGTTGAGTTAGGCATTTTTGGCAAGATTTGGTGATGGGGTGGGGGAATGAGAAAAAAGAAAGAAGTCAAGGATGACTCCCAGATTTCTGGTTTTGAGCAACTGAGTAATGAAGCCATTTACCAAGGTAAGGTAGGACAGGAGAAGAATGAAATTTGGGACAAAAATCAAGTTGTATTTTGTATATAAGTCTTGAGAAGATAAGAAGATAAACAGTTGTCAAACAAACCACTGAATTTGTAAGTCTGGAACTCAAGGGAGAGGTCTAATTTAATAGGTCTGGCTGCTAGAACATGAACAAGATGTATGTATGTGGAGGGAAGGAATGCCATCTAGGGGACTGAGAACTGACAAAGGTTAGACAAGAGTTGAATGTTAAATTTCTGAGCTTTGGGTAAAACTTGCTGGATGGGAGAGATCAGAAACTAGAAAAGTAAGCCTACTTATGATCAGGGTATCCTGGGGGGTTAACCAAAGCTGATTTTTCTCCTGGATACAGGGTTACAAGGAAGAGAAGAACCAAGGTGAATGCTGTGGGAAATGTCTGCCTACGGCTTGCACCATTCAGCTAAGAGGAGGACAGATCATGACGCTGAAGGTGGGAGGAAGTTGAACTCATGTCACCACCTGGTTTCCTGTTTTGGCATTTCTTCTTCAAGAAAGAGGGACTAAGTTTGGGTCAATATTAGCTTTGCACCTATTTCTGATTTTATAGAGAAAAGATGGATAACCTATAGAAGGTACAAAATTTTCTCTTTGATTTAGTAATTTTTTCACTCTTCTTGACCAGAGCGTAGTTAGCGTAAGGGCCATGATTTGGAGTTGGTTGATCATTAAGATTTCTTCCAGCCTTGATTGTCTATAAGACTGGATAGTCAATCAGGTGACAGTAAGTCTGATCTATGAGAGTGAAAATTGGTTGTTAGGGTGGTGGTGCCCTGGTTCATCTCCGGTTCAGTTATTGCTTTGCTAGTTTACCCTCACTATGTCTTAATTTTTTAAGCTTCTAGGTGGTCAGAAGAGTTTGGAGGGATTCTTTGCATTTATGCAGCCCTATTCACAGTAACTAAGCTGGGACTCCACTTCTATTGTGTGCTCTGGGTGTGGAGACTGTAGGTACTGTCTCAGTCTTGCTCCATAGTCCTCCAAATTGTTTCAACAACTTCAAGGAGTCAAGGTCATGGTTTGAAGTGTCTTTGCAGACCAAACACTGTCTTCAGATTTGCTCTACCCATTTCCCCTCTTTGTTTTCAGCGTGATGAGATGCTCCAGGATGGCTGTGATAGCCACGTCTGCAAGGTCAATGAGAGAGGAGAGTACATCTGGGAGAAGAGGGTCACAGGCTGCCCACCCTTTGATGAACACAAGTGTCTGGCTGAGGGAGTGAGTAGTTGGAGCTCAGGCCCTACTATTCTCTTGACCGCTCCATCTTTGACTCTAAGAACAGAGTCCTCTGAACAGCAGTCTTCTCTGACATGATGTCCCAGTGTCCAAGGGAGACCCCAGACCTAGTTTAAAAACCAATGAAGTTTCAAAATCAAAACCTGTTGGAGAGACAAAACTCTATGCACTATATGGTGCTTTCAATAGATACCTTTCCCTTGGGGGAGACTGATCTGTGATCCTTGAATGGGAGGGTGAGAGATCAAATGATTTCTAGTCTCTCCTGAGAATATGGTCCTGGTGATGCAACTGGGAGAGAATCTAGAATAATCAGAATTGAATCCAGCCTGGTCAGGTAGGATGGTCAGTCTGTTCCCAGTTGTGATGGTAATGCAGAGTTTATGTCTGGGGACTGAAGCTCCGGGCTGTGAGTCCAGAGCCAAGAATTGGCCTGGAATGACCCAGAAGTTGTCTGCTATGTCCTAGTTGTGCCTAATCTGGGACTTTGCTATTTTCTTAGGGGAAAATCATGAAAATTCCAGGCACCTGCTGTGACACATGTAAGTATATTACCAATAGCTTGTCCTTGAAATCTGTCAGACCAAGTCCAGGGACTGTTTTCTTTGGAGGAAGCTTGTTCTGGAAAGATAGTTCTTAACCATTGACGAATCACTAGGTTTAGTTCTGCAGGGAACCTCCACCCTCCCTGAATGTTCTTAGACTGCCCCCTCCTCAAATCGCCACTTAAATCCCTGTGAAGCAGTTTCTTCCCTTTTTCCAAAACTCCTATTTCTATCCTCCTACCTGCCTTTTCCCTCCTAGAGACAGGGGTGGCTCACAGTCCCATCCTGAGACAATATCTTCTTTTTCCAACCAGAGCTCTTTGAAGAAAGGCACCCTTGGTCCATAATCTTGACAGAGCAGACACTCAAGACAAATGTATTCTTTGAGGGTCAGACAGCCACCTCCCAGAGAAAGAGAAGCCACCAGCTGGCTAACATCAGCTCCCCCTGTGGGCTGTGAGACCTGCAGGGGCAGAGAGCACAGAGTCTTCTCAAGAGTTCGTAAGACCAGTCTACATTGATTAACCTCCCCTTCTTCACTCTCGGCCCCTCATGGCCTTGCAGTTATGTTCTGCCAGTGGGTCCTTGTAGCTCTTAGCAGCAACTTTGGGGCCAGAGTCTACAAGGCTGCCCATCAGAGAGCAATCTCACCACATATTCCTGTGTTCACGAGCACCAGTAACTTTCTGAATCCTAGTGTTAGTGTCGTGGTCTCTGAATATAGAATCACTTGCCTGGGCTAATATTTTTTGGTTTTGGTTTAGTGCTTTGTGTTTTTTGTTTTATTTGGGGGTCTTGGGCCCATGTTCGGTATTGGGTAAAGAAAGGAAGAGTGAAAGCATGAATCATTCATTCTCTCCCTGATGACTAACTCTGACAAGTCCCTGCAATTGCTGTAAGCAGGTTACAGATCAAGGAAACACGCTCCGAAAGCTACTCTTTCTGTGATTCCTATCTGCATAAATTTCAGAATGTTGAAGTCTGGAAACCATCAGGGAGAATGAATTCCCTCTGGGTACACTTTGCACATGGAATTTGGTCAAGAGAGAGTTATCTGCAAAACTAGCAAGGAGGCAGCAAGGGGCCTGTGTTGGTCAATACTTTCAGGAGAGTGGAGACCCTTCTTAAGGAGAGGAAGCCAGGCTCAGGGATTTAAATCTACAGTGAAAGAATATAGCATGTTGGCCTAAATATGTTTTCCTTATTCATTCTTTTAATGTGGTTGGCAGGCTTTCACTGTAAAATGAAGTTATTTGGAAGTTGGGAGGCAGGCTAATATGTAGTTAGGGTTGATTTAGTTTGGGAGCCATTCAAGAATGGAAGAGTCTCAGTGTTCAGATGGGGAATGGTGAGTTGGCATTAAATCTTAGAATTATCGGTGGGCCTAGTAGAGGTTCAGATCTGAATGCCACTAATCCTTGCCATGCCAGGGACCGGAGACAGCTATTCCCAAAGGGAGGACTCCATAAGGGAGTCCTAGAGATCCTCTTAGCCCCTTGTGTGGCCATGACATTTGCTTTTCCTCTTTTCTAAAGGCAAAGATAGATATTAGTTATATTTATTGGCTACTTCATTGCCCATTAGCTTCCGGATATAGTTATAAGCATAAGAAGATTGCTCCAGTCATTATGGTTTTTAGAGTCTACAATTACATAAAAGCAAGTCTCATCCATCTACAACACCAACGCACAGTGGATCTAGGCTCCTCCTGCCATTAAAATTGTACCATTAAGTGAGTTAAACCCAGCTGCAACTATATCTCTGGATCGGAGGGCCAGGAGATTCTGAGGTGAACCAGGATAACTTAACTCCCCTCCTTGCAGCCGGCTTTGGAGATTTGGTTACTGTGAAACTGACCTTTTTCCAGTGAAGTGAGGGAAATGGGCCGGAGAGCATTCTATCGAATCTCAGCCAGGCCCCTGGCCCCATCTCTCACCCGTCCTGTAGGTGAGGAGCTGGAATGCAAGGATATCACGGCCAGGCTGCGGTATGTCAAGGTGGGAGACTGTAAGTCGGAAGAGGAAGTGGACATTCATTACTGTGAGGTAAGGGGGCCCTGGCTTCAGTGAGGCCTGCGGGGGGAAGGGTGGGATTATGTTTCCTGATCAAACATGCATAGAAATCGCAGCTAGCGGGATTTGGGTGTAATAGGACCATAAGGATAGTGGGCATGTCAGACTTCCCTGAGATGTCCCTTTGCAAATTGCCTAGCAGGATCTTCCGGCATTACAACGCGCCCCTCCCCCCCCATTCTGTCACAGGGTAAATGTGCCAGCAAAGCCTTGTACTCCATCGACACGGAGGATGTGCAGGACCAGTGCTTCTGCTGCTCGCCCACTCGCACGGAGCCCATGCAGGTGCCCCTGCGCTGCACCAACGGCTCCCTGGTCTACCACGAGATCCTCAACGCCATGCAGTGCAAATGCTCCCCCAGGAAGTGCAGCAAGTGAGGCCGCTGCCCTGGACGCCTGCTGTCACCTGCCTCACCCGAGACCGGGCCTGCCAGAGCACGGCTGCTCGCTCCTCGTGCTCCGCTCTTGGGCGCTCCTGAGCCCACAATAAAGGCCAATCTCTCCCCCTGCAAAAGGCTGATGGTTCACTGTGTCTACTAGGCTGAGATGACAGGGGTAGGCTGGGCCTGAGTTCTGAACCTGGTTCTGGGGGAGAAAGCACAGGGTCCATCTGGAAGCACTCCAGCCGCAGGCATGGCCAACCTCTGGGAAAAAGTGGTGTCTGCCTCCATGGGGTGGGGAGAGGATTGTGGGGGGCAGGCCTCCTCAGAACCCAGCCCAAATCCCCAAAGGGATTTGCTCAGGAACACTAGGTTCTCCAAGCTCTGGATCCAGGGGCTTCTGAACAGGCAGAGGGGTGGGCCCTGGGGCCAGGATCCTGCCAAGACAGACATGGTTATTGCCAGTGTGGCTGACCTTGGGGTGAAGGAGTTTGAGCAGGTATGCCAGGGTTTCTCTGAGCCCTTGGCTCCCTAAGTTCCCGTGTATCGTCAGTGGCCCTTGAGGGAAGAAGAGGTGCTGACGACTGAGGGGACTTGAAAAGGGGTGCTGGCCAGTACAGGAACAGGGGCCCATCCAGCACAGGCTTGGCCATAGGGGATGAGCCCCAGACTTGCAGGCAGGCCTGGGTTCTACACATGGCCCTTGTTCTGCTGTGTGGCCCCAAATAAGACCATTAGTGGTTCTCAGACTTAGTTTCCTCATCTGGAGAATAGGAACGTTAGTCTCACTCATGGGTGTGAGAGGGTAAAATACGGCTGAAATCTGGGGGTAACTGTAAATTGCTCTTTAATAACATAAGAGGTGACAAGAATAAAAATGAGGGGAAATCAAGGCTCAAAGTGGGGGGAATAAGTGTCTCTATTTTCGGTGGCAGAGCATTAGGGATTGACTTTATCCTGAGGAGGGAAAGAGCTGAGTTTCTTTTGGGCTGTATGCTGGATACCCAGGCCCTGCTTACTCCAGACATCTTTTAGTGGAAGGGTAGAGATAACACCAAACTTCACCCAGTCTCCAAATCACTAACCAGTAATGTCACTCTCAAGAACAGATTGTCCTTCTGTGGAGAGGACAATTTATGTGAAGAGTTTACATGTATATGCTGGCCAGATAGTGGAGACTCTAGCTGGGGAGAGAATACCTATGAGAATTAAGGGAATGCCCTGGGTTTATAACAAGAATTTGATGGAGAATTGATTTTCATTCCAGATCCTTTTAGCACAGGAGAGACGCTACTCACTGGAAGTGCTGCATGGTGGAGCTGGAAAGGATTTAGACATCATCCAATCCACTCCCCCTCCCCCCACCGCCCCTTTACAGAGAATAAAAGCAGCTCAGAAAACTCGAGTGACTTGCCAAAGGTCACACAGTGGCTGGATGGCAGGTTCAGAATCCAGGTGCCTGACACCTAGGCAAGAACTCCCAGGCCACTCCACGAGAGCCACGCCATCCCTGTTGCTTACAGATTTGGTCCTCACGGGGCCCCGGAACCAGTGACTACGGCATTTCTAGGACTCACCCACTTCCGATACTGTGGGGAATCACCCGGAGGGGAGATACACTACAGGCAAATGGCATGGATTGTGTTGAGCAGCTTTGGTGGGGAGCTTAGTCAGCAGAGGAAAGGAAAAATGGATAGAAGTTTTATATAACGGCTCAATAATTCACAGGTTGTCATCGGTCCGTCCAGCACCTCGCCTCCAGCTTTGAGTAGGCTCTGAGGTCTCTGTAGGAAACCAGATCCAGGGGCAGGGAATTACCTATCTCTCTTCTTACTGATCGCCTAACACTCTACCTGGGGATGAGGTGTTACTGGAGGCATGGGCTATAGAGAAACTCAGCAGGGAGGCTACCTCTCCAGCCTAAGGTGTCAATTTTCCAACCCCCTGTGCCTCCATAGCTTGAATTTCTCCTCAGATTTACTGATAGGACAATTCACTGTCAAGAAAAAAGCCAAATCAGAAAAACTGTATGTTTTGATTTTTAAAAAATGGCAGGGAGCAGGGTAAGGAGGCTGCAAACAGAGAAAGCGGCAGTGGGGGTGTGTCTCGGCCACTTTCCCTTTTAACAGGGCAGGGCCTGTCTCTGGTCTCAGGGACTCTTCCTGCTTGCCCTCAGACCAGGTGAGACAGAGTCCCTGAGGGGAGAGTTTTAGGGGGAGTCTCAAGGAGAGAGTATACAGGGGCTAAGGGATAATAAAGTGCAGGAGGGAGAGAAGAAAGGGAATGGATTAAGGAACCATGGTGGAAAGGCTTCCAGTGCTCTTGGCCTTGAAAAGACATGGAGAAGAGTTGCTGGGAGTGAATGGGGAGAAGGGCATTGTCTGGGAGAGAAAGCAGAATAACAAAGCATTGGGGCATGGACTCTGAGCACACTGGCTGCTTGGGGATCCCCGCATAGCTCCTAGAGGCGAGTTGCTTGACCTTTTACACAGTAGTCTCATCTGTCAGATGGGCAGACCAGCAGCAACTGCCTCATAGGGATGTGTCAGAATCAAACCATCATGGTGGTAAAGCTCTGAGAGGGCTACCTGAGGAAGTCCGGAATAAACGTTAGCCCTGATCACTCCTCGTGGCGGGAATAAAGTTCTGGATTGGGACATAATACCTTTGGTTTTCCTTTTGTGTTGCCCCTGACTCATCTGTGCTGTCTACTCCCCTTTGTCCTCTAGCAAGTGGGGAGCAATCACCACCAGCCTACCTTATCAGTGTAGGAGATACGATTCTTCACACTGAAGAATAAATAGCATACTTGACCTTAACATAAAACCCTTCACTTTTTTGGGTCCCTGCATCTTGGAGTCGTAGATTCCCTCCTCCAGAATGGCCCTTCAGAGGGTCTTCCGTTTCTCTGCTCATCGCAGGGCACCTGAACCAGGCGGGAGAGATGGGGGTCCTCTTGTTCTCTGGGATGGAGCTTCCAGGCTCCCTCCTGGACCCAGTCCCAAGCCTCTCAGAGGGACGGTCCCAGTGAGACCTACCTGCCCCCCTTCTGCCTCTCGCAACCCCTCCTCCTGTCCTCCTATCTCTCGGGCCCTATGACCCCCGGCCCCCTGCTCCCGCCCCTCGGACTCTCGGGAGAGGTGGGGACGGCTGGGCGCGAGGGCGAGCGCCGGAAGCTGGGCGAGGCAGCCTCCCTCCCCGAGCCGGCAGTGCCCAGGACGGACAGGGCAGCGGGGCGGGATTGGAAACTCATCAGCCAGACGGTGCGCCAGCTAATCCGGCTGAACGTTCACGCCCGACCCAGGTGAGGAGGCAGCTCTGCCCGGCTCGCCCCTCAGCCTCATTGACCCCAGCGCTGCCCGGACTCGAGCCGCCCGCCGGCGCGCTACCGGCCCACGTGCCACTCGCAGCGCCGGTGCGC